CTCGAGCAGAAGACTTTGGCCTATATTCGGGACATCGTTGCCGGGGACAGACAGGAAGACATTGGAGGTCCATGTACATAATATCATCGCTGGCCTTCCCCACGGACTCAGAGAGATCACACGCCTCTAGAGTTCATTGTAGACTCTAGAGCCAGAGTGATTATTGCGTTCTGAATTGGCATTCATCAGTTCCAAGCTCCAATTATTGACCCTTTGCACATTGATAGTGCGTGGCCCAGCCCTAGGCCTGACATTCCATTGCTGCGAGTTGGAGATCCCCATAAGACCAACTGGACGAACTGAAAGTAAGACGTACCCGACAGATGTGTTCGACGGCGAAGGTACTTGGTGTATATTCCTGGAGAGGCGTCAATCTGGCCACCTCCAGTGATGACATCTCCTTTCCAGTGCTAGTCGGGCGTTTGACAATCGACACGGATGATGGTTCGTGAGGATTGGGCGAGTGGTCGGTCAAGGAGTATGTGCGTGACCTCCTGGGCACTGATATCACGCTCTGCGACCGTGGCATTCATGATCTAGTTGAGGCAAAGGCAGCAATGCCTTTGTCTTCTCTTGTCCTAGGGAGAACCTTGGCAGCAACATCGTTGAACGTACGGTCTTCTTCTACGCCTTGCTCACGTACTTGACGATGTAGTTGATCACTGCTCCGGCTGTGGCGAGATGTCAGTATTCGCCAACCATCCGAGAGTAAGTGTACGGTTGTAGTGGCTCATTTTCGGATCGTTCCTCGGGTCATTGTACACAGGGTATGACGGGTTCCAGTCGGGAATCGGGATGAAGTACAGCTTTCAGGTGTACTCTCTTGGGGATAAAACCGGCAACCCTTGTCTCCAATTAGCTTTGGTGTGTATAGTAACGGGGAAGTAAACATGCGTACCATGTCTCTAATCTGGTGCCCTATATTGTCTCTGCGTGACCCAAGACAGTAGCTGTTTGTGTATATGTGGACCTTTACCCGGTTCGTAATCGCTGAGAGATTGCCGAACGAGAAGTTTTCATGGCTCATCAGCGGGTTCGTGTCCTGGGCTGGTGGTATACCCATAGTGTAGTTCCACCACGTCAACTTTCTCTCGAAGAAGTCAAGGAATGTCTTCTCCACATCCCCAGTTAACTCGCCTTCGTCCAGAGTTGCACAGTCAGCTACCCAGACAATCATGTGAACGTGGAGACTGCCGCGCGGCGCGTGCCTGAAACTTCAATCGTCGCTAGAAGTCCACGACCTTGAACTTTGGGATGCCAACCTCCTTCATGAAGCGTTGAACCCTTCCGTGGATGAAGTGGAAAGCCGCGATATCAGGGTTTTTTCTGAGGTTGATGGAGGCGAGCTTCGTCTTCTATTTGTTGCTTCCGGCACCCAGGCATCAACTTTGCCAGCGATTGCCAGTGTACGTCAGCTGTAGAGAAGGTCAATAACAAAGCTGGATACCCTAGTCCACGGACTTGAGCCCTAAGCTCATTTCATTTTCCTTGCCAGTATAAGCGAATTCCTAACATATTGAATGCATAGCGGTTGACCGAGTTTAGAAGACTGTGTGCCTCTTGTCTGTTCTGATTGACCATTTCCCTCGCTTTCAACCGTAACACTCTCGCGCTGGACTTTCTGGAGGAAGTGGGCGCTCTGCTTATTAGCCTGCGAGCGAGCCAGCACGTTGTACGCCACGAAGCGGAACTTGGAATGCTGTGCAAACCGCCGACCAAGTACTTGAGAGCTCGCTGGACATATGTTTTGAACTCCACCGATTGAAGCCACCGAGCGTAGGCGTGGTTCAGCATAGTCTCCTATGCCGTAAGGTTATAGATGTGGGAATGCCGGAGCCAGCAAAGGCTCATTTTGTCCAAGCTCGTCAGTCGTTGTCTGCCTAATACTCGAGATATGCATAGCTGGAGGACCTTCGGGTGATGCGGTTGGTTGTCGATTGGAGGCATGCACTTGCGAGTCTTGTGAGCTAGCCGAGGTCTGTTGGCGACCGAGTCGACACGGCGGTAGGTTTGCTGATGCTGGCCGCAGTGAGAGTACTGACTTTGAGGCGCGTTCGCTGCTTGGAGGAAGGACCTATGCTTTGAACGCGTCCACATCTCTCTGGTGAGCCATCAGGTGTGGGACCGCCACGCCCTCCCAGAGTTCCTCACTGTCGGTGTTGGTGCTGGTGCTGTCATTGTCGGTGGCTGCGACATCATGAAGGTCTTATTCAGGTGGCTTTGCCCAACAGCATGTGTGTCACTGTCGATAGTCAGGGCCGGGACCGGGTTGTGGCATTCTTTGCTCTCATGTCGGTGAGGAATGGCTACCTGTTGATCAGTCGGGGGATGAAGATGAAAGTGTGGTGACTCTGGTGAGTTCTTGTGTTAACAAAAGCGCATTTGCGCGCATTTGATTGGCACACCGCCTAACCATGATTAATTACCCCCCACCCCACGACGCGCCTCAACGCGCTTCATCGCGTCTTCCTCGACCACCAATCCCGGTGACGTTTGGGCACGGAGTTCTCTCACCAACATTGGAGATCTCGGGGCCATTCAGGTCATCCACGCAATCCGCCACCATGCTGCGACAAGACTTCAATCGGCTGGATCCCAAGCGTCGCAATGTGCTCGATCATCGAAAGAAGCAGTTTGCGGCGCCTCTGTACAAAGACGCCGAGTATCCCCATCGACTCAATTTTTACACGGATGCGCCGACGGCAGACATCACGCTCGAGCAGTTTGAGCAATGGGCCATTGACCGACTCAGAGGTTCGTTGTTCTCACCCTACTCGCACAAAACGCGGAGACATGCAAAGACCCTGCGACACAAAACGAGGCTGACACGATGTGGCAGTCCTGGCCGAGCTGGAAGCATGCTCGTTTCGAAACCGAACACCCGCCGAGACAGCCGCTCACATGAAGCCCATCCTGGACAAATACGTCCCCCTCGATACCAACAGCTCATCTTCGGCGCGGCTGTTTGCGCAGAGACAAAAGGACCACTACAGCCACTTTATCCTACGTCTGGCCTTTTCGTCCACCGAGGACCTGCGCCGGCGGTTCAGCCGCGTCGAAACAATGCTGTTCCGCATGCGGTTCAATAATGACGATTTGACCGAGAGATCCGCGTTCGTGTCGAGCCTTGATCTAGACTGGTGGGAGGCCGTGACGGAGGACGAAAAGAGGGACTATGCTGCGGACCTGGCGGCCATGGCAGGAAAGAAGTCTAGCCTCGAGGACGACATGTGGTTCAAGGTTGATTGGGAGAGAGTGCCAGACCTGGTCGAGGGCCGGAGGGTGTTTCTGAAGCAGGGCAAGGCGTTTGTGCCCGGGCGCGAACAATCGAGTATGGTGGTTGCCGAGTTCTCGTCGCGCTTAGAGAAGCAGCTCGAGGTATGGCGTGCTTCCTTCATCTTGACACCATTACGAAATCCTCCTCAAGACAATCTCAAGACATAGACAACACGTTTCTCTTACTGACATTATTCTGTGTCGCCTCCTTTCGCTTAGCTCACTGCTCGGGCACTCCCGCGCCTCGACGAAGACGATCGTCTTACCCCGATCCTGAACCACCTGTCCAAGAACTTCATCACCCCCGACTCCACCTACGTCTCCAGCTCGACAGCTCCGGACGGCGCACAAATCACCGCCTCCAACATTGATCATCTGTCGCAGCATTTCCCGGCCTGTATGTCTCATCTGCACCGGTCGCTACGGCGAGACGCACACCTCAAGCACTACGGCCGTCTGCAGTACACGCTGTTCCTCAAGGGCATAGGCCTGAACCTGGAAGAGTGTCTGATGTTCTGGCGGAGCTCCTTCCACAAAGTCACCGATGATCAGTTCAACAAGGAATATCGATATAACGTGCGCCACGCGTATGGCGAGGTCGGCGGAGACTCTAACCGTCGAGGCGGCGGCTATAGCCCGTATAGCTGTCAGAAGATCTTGACGGAGCACCCGCCCGGCCCGGGAGAGGCACACGGGTGTCCTTATCGGCACTTCAACATGGAGAATCTAACGGCTCTGGTCAATGCGATGGGTGTTTCGGACCGAGCGGTCCTCCAGGGAGTGAAGGAGGATAAGGAGAAGCAAAAGTTTCACATGGCTTGTAACCGGTACGTCGAGAGGCTCTCTTTTTGTTCCATTTTTTTGAAACTTTTCTTTTGGCTGCTTGGCTTGGTCCATTGAGTGCGCGCCCAGAACAACGGGCTAACGGTGTTGTTTGATCGATCAAACAGGGTTTTTGAACATGTTCACAAGGCCGAGATTAGGAAGGCCAAGGATGAGAGCGTCATGACGTCTAGTCAGCTGGAGACGATTGTTCATCCCAACGAGTATTTCAAGCGAAGCTACCTGCTCAAGAACTTGGGTAAGGATGGCCAGGATAAGATGGAGGAGTGAGCTGGAGCGGAAAGGAGTACATACTGATGAGGATGCCTGGGTTGAACATACGAGGGAGGTTGATGTGGCACGATGGCGGCGTATGGAGTTCTTTGGTCTGGTTCATTGGCCTGGGCTTGGCCTGGAGTTGCGTATACATAGTTTCTTATCATGATGAATTGACCTAGGGCGTATTGGGCCTCGAGTTGACCGGGCTCAGAGTCCCATACCCGTAAACCCGATTACATGATTTCGCCCGACGCCCTCACAAGCGAGTTGTGTTCGTCAAAGGCAATTCGCATCCACTGCCAGGAAGAGAGGAGCAATCGATGAAGCTCGCCGTGGCATTGCGATTGAGTTCAAGATTGTCATATCCCGTTATGGAAGCACAAATACGTCTCGGTATTTCAAGTGATGGATGACTCTTCCTGCCGTGCGCGGGATAGTTTCTTGTTTGTCTGATCCGTGCAACAAGAGTAGGTCTAGACGTCACGCACATACTTGATCCGAGTAGCAAAAAAGAGGCATAACTATACTATACAGACGCGCGAAACTGACAGATCAGCAAAAGAAATCGCCAAGTCTTGAAAAAAGACCACGTTGAACCCAATCGAGCAAAAAGCAAAAATAACTGCGGCCAGTGTGACTCGAACACACGACCTTCAGATAGGCATCCGTAGGATTGAAGTTGACTTCAGTCTGACGATCTCCCAGCTAATCTATGGCCGCAACGGATGTGGACGGGTTGCTCAGTATTAGGCATTATGAAGCGCACTGCTGGGCAGCCGGGATGAGAATCATGAGATTGTGCGGCTGCCTAGTTTTTTGCGCTTGCCTTTGTCCATCCCTACCAAGTATGTGCCTAGCAGCCTAGGCGTGGTGGGCGCATACATGCGCATACCTACATGTGCTTTTATTTTTTGATCCTTCGCGTATCGGGCAACGGAGCTTGGACGCGATAGAGGCAGTGCCAGCTGAACTGCCCGTCGTCCAATAAGTAACGGTGAACGATTTATAGCAGTCGAATCGACGGGTTTGCGCCGAGTTTCCCACAAGTTAATCCGTAACTACGGAGTACATAATGTAACAATGTACAAGCACTCATGCTGTCACTTTTGACAACTTCGAACTGTCCACTGTCAACCAGATTTCGCTTGTGTGGCTTGAAGCACCACGTGGCGCGGCACTCGCATGGTCCCAGGACTCCCAGTGCACCGAAGCGAGAAATGAAATTTCGCGTCTACGGAGTAATAAAGCCTCGTCTTCGCGCTTCACCCACGTGCTGCGCGAGCCGCGAAAAGGGGTTGCCACGTGCGCGCCTCGCAACAAGCATCAAATTCTCGCGCACAAACCGGTAGTTCTCAATGACCACAGCGCTTCTTTGCGTGCTCAAGCCCCTTGTATCTCGTACAAATGCATACGAATATGAAGGCAAAGCGGCCGTGTCGGCGCCATGATGCGAACTTCGAAGACAAGGAAAGCACATGTGACATGATGTTTCTCTGCACTTCGGCATCCGGGACTCCGGGTACCGGTAGTGTCGGGCCGGGAAAGGCAAAATGGGGAAAGATGAAAGAAGAAAAGAAGGCAAGACGGAAAGACGGAAAGAAGATACATACATAGACCTCGGATGGTGCCGATTTTCTACTCGCACGACACACTCTTTGTTCCATGACAATCTCGAGAGTCGAGCCCCAAGGATGTGCAACTAGGGGCCACCAGCCAATGGGTATTTCAATATGTAGTTACCTATAGCCAGTGTCTGGGCCTTTGGCTCAACTTTCAAGGCAATCTCAACGAAATGCGAAATTGCCTGCATCATGTTCTCTTTCCTCTGGCCTTCTAGGCCTTCTAGCCTCTACCTAGAGCCGAGAGACTATGGGTGCACACGTTCTGGGCGGCCCCGACTTGCGCCAAGTGCTGCAGCCTGCCAAGCCCTCCCAGAACGATCCAAAATGCCGTTATGCCGTTATGCCGAAGCGGAGAGCCGGGGCCGGTGGGAGAAGGGGGGGGGAGGGGGTGTGCGCGGCAGACGTTTCTAGAATAGGGCGGGAAGCGAGACGCGAGAAGGAGGGAACGATGCAACTGGCTTGCGATAAGCCTCAAGGTGTTGATGGGACGGGCGTTGGAGAAGATAAGCTCCTCCGTGCAGGGGATGAAAAGGGAAAAGAAGGAGAACAAAGTAAAGAAAACGGTGCAGAGAAAAGATGCAGAATACCTACGGATAGGTAGAACAGAAAAGAAAAAAGGAATTGCAACTGGCAACGACGCAGCAATGTCGGGGCAGGGCTGTCCCCCATCGACCACTCGCCTTCGGAACGCCCTTCAGGCTTCGGGACGAGAACAACTCAATTCACCTCGTTTATAGTCCCATCTTACCCCGTACGAGTCGGCGCCCACATTCCGCCAAGATTCGTCGTGTCGTCAGCCGAGCCCGGAAACGATCAACAGTGTGCGTATTATGGTGTAGTACCGTAGTACGTACAGAATATGTAGGTACACGGAGACTCTACACCCGCATATGTACTTATTAGACCCCAGAGCCTCCAGTCACGCAGAAAAGGTCAGACCAGAAAAGGGGATTGTTGTTTCTATTCTCGACGCCCCTTGTTTCTAGCGACGGCAACGCATTCCCCCCCAATTGACCACAACCTATGAATACATCAACACTCAGCCTTACCAGAGTTACCACTCGTTCGTCTTCCCGTTCCTGCAGTGCCGCCCGCATCGGCGCCGCCCAAAAGCAAGGCGCATGGACCGTAGGGCATAGAAACGGACGCCTGCAAGGCCCCGACGCCGGCCTAATGGTTCGTAGCGGTACTGGGCTCGTCTCGGCGATTCAGCTCTCCCAAGGCGGCGGCGCCATCTAGATTGTCCGCATGGGCGCGTTTCATCCTGGTTCATCCCACGACATGGTTCTGCATTCCCAGCGGCGGGCGCGTTTCTCTAAAACACGACCAACACACGGTCTTTGTTGATACGTAGATAGAGCCGACGACTTACATACCTACATACCTACATCATACATGCATCGCAGCCGGACCGGACAGGATATTATGTACAGAGCATCTACTCCGTAGTGAGAGGAAAATAAAGACCCTTGCCCAAGAAGAAGAAACCCCCGTCCCGCATCCCGGCACCGGGTGTTTCCCCATCCAGCACCCGCAACCGCAGGCACACAAAACCCAAACCCAAGATAGGTACTCCGTACAACGCGCAATGACGCGGCGCCATGCTGCAACTTGCTGTTTATGTTGCTCACGATGAGAAACATAAGAAAGGGCCGGGTCCCATATTGAATCTCAAACAACAGCCCCGAGAGACAAAGGAGCGTTCGCGGCTCATGAATCGCTGACTGTGCTCGTTTGTGCGCTCTATAAATGGATGTAGGTACATACATACATATTCATATGATAATGCCGCGGCCCGCGGGACAGGACAAGGACGACGAAACACAAAGGAGGAATGCAGACAGCATCATCGTCGTGAACTTGTGAACCTTCAATCACGGTACGGCGCTGATATGTGTAGAGAACCCGGGATGGGAGTCTCATGATGCGATTGCGCGTCGCGCGAGGAATGGATTACGTATTTGGGACACAAGTCGCTCATCACAGGCTGCAGCAGCTCGACTCAGCTCAAAAGTCAACTCAGCTCAACTCAACTCAACTCAACTCAAACACGTACCTACATACGCACAACATGTTTCATCCCCAGATTTCCCATCTCACAGTTTCCCGTTCTTATCTGTGCGGCTGTGCCCATCTCGCATACCCACTTTTATGCTTCTGCTGCCTCATTGCTGCATCTTGCATGTGAGAATTCCTACATGATACCCGGCCTCTTCAGTGCTGCGCCCAAGCTCTACATATCGTACGAAGTTACGAACTCAACAGATTAAGCGCGTTTTTTTCCCTCCAGAATACGCGCCAGGCCAAACATCACGTGCCCTCATTTTGCGCATGCCACGCCAGGTACGGTACAAGGTACCATGTACATACCTACCTACTCCGTACATACATAGGTCAAAGTTCCGCAACGGCGCAAAAACAAGTTGCCAGACTTCTGTTTCAGAAAAACAAGGGGCCCTCCCCGAACCCACTCTTCCTGCCAACTGGCGAATACCCACAGGGCCACAGGCTGCGCGTATGTTAAGTACATACCTCTTACGGAGTACATTAGGTTGCATACGGAGTACATATGTATGTATGTACATTCTTACATGCGGAGGACACATGAACAAGTTCTTCCTTGCAAGATATCTACCACTGTTCTGCTTACGGAGTGTGCATTAGATACGGAGTACACACTCCGTATATATAATGTACCCCCAATTGCAACCGCAACCGCAACCGCAACCGCAACCGCAATTGCCATTGCCATTGCCAAGACCACGGAGTAAGGGCCCCTGCCAAGAATTTCTGCCAAGCCTTCAGCCAAGACATTTCCAGGCCCGAAGGCCGGAAACATGCATGGTGGATGGATGGGGGGGGTCGTGGAAGCGGTGAGGAAGGGGAATTTGGCAGAAGGGCAGGCAGTGGGCACAGGAACAAGGGGCCGCGGGCGGAACCAGGGGCGGAGGCCTGGGGGCACAGGACAGGACGAGACAAGACGGGATGAGACAAGGCTGAGGATGGGCCTGGGCCTGGCCGCCTGGGTCGGGGTCGGGGTCGGGGTTGGGGGCTCGGAGTCGGGGGTTATTAGACTGCCTGGGTATGTACATACTTGTGCGCAGTAAGGTTGGTAATGTGCCCACTGCCGACCGACGCGCGTACGTACGGTCCATGGAGTCGTTTGCTTGCAGATGCGGGTGTTGCGTGGGAGAACCTTGTTGCATAATTTGTGGTTCGCGGCAGTGGAATTTCGAGGGGACGGTCCAGGTCGCAGAGTACATACACAAATAATCACCACATTTACACGTCAAAGGCATCAGATCACCACACTAGGTCACAGTCTTCACCGGCGTTTAGGTTCATTAAGGAAGAGATGGGCATTAACAAAAAAAGAAAATTTCATTCGTCTCTCAGTTAAGCTTTGCTGCACGGCAGCTCATGCTAATATCATATATCAAGTCCACAAGATGAAACCCAGGGCGCCTGCCCGCCTGCCCTGCTCCTCAGTTCCGCAATTTCCGTCGCAATGGCCGAGCTAAGACAAGGTACGAGCTATCTCGTCTGGTCGTCGAGTACCTTCCCCCTTGAGATAGTATCCCGTCGCGGTTGGCTGTGCAAACAGAACAAGCCGCGGCTTTGGTCCACCTTGAATAATAGCCTGTGTATGACTGGCTCGGAGGTCGACGGCAAATAGGCTCGATCCGTCCGAGTGTGTTCATTCGAGTCGTCGCATCATCATCATGTTGGGAACGCCGGAGGAATATGAATAGAGAACAATATGGGTCGTTCGACACGATGTCTGACCGCGATCGATCGTACTGCGCCAGTCGCTCAAGCGTCGCCGAATTTATCTCGGCAGACTCGGTAGTAAAGTATCAATTCGATATTCATTTGGCATGGTGAAGATGTCGTCTTGTATGCGTAAAAACATTCTCCGCGCCATCAAGGCTTATGCACTAAGCGTCGTCTGATCCAGCATTGCGCACGCGTCCAGTCTCATTGCGGCAGTCGATCGAGGGTATAGGCGCAGGTGAGGGTATGGTGTACTCCAAAAGAAAATTCATACATGACTTGGCGTAGTGGCGTCCTGGAGCTGGCTAGCAGCTACATTGTCGA